TACGGCTGTGGGTAACAAATATAACAAATCGGATGAAAAGTATATATGGGAGCTATAGCTATATGTGAACCGATCTTCACCAAATTTGACTCAATTCGGTCGCAAGTGCCAAATTTCATCGCTTTTGGGCAAATATTAGACGTTTGGTGTACCATCAAAGTTAAAACGGACGAAGTTATATATGGGAGCTATTTCCAAATCTGAACCGATATCGATAAAATTTAGCAAATGTATTTCTGAGCTGTATTTGATATATTTTCCCAAATATTGTTGTTACAGAGTGAATATTACGGCTGCGGAGGACAAAAATAAGAAATCGGATGAACAATATATATGGGAGCTATAGCTATATCTGAACCGATTTCGATCAAATTTGGCATACTTATTTTCAGGCCTAATTTGATTGTATGTGCAAAATTTCATACTATTCGGACTGATATTGTACGTTTGGTGCACAATAAAAGGCAAATCGGACGAAAGTATATATGGGAGCTATATGTAAATTTTGACCGATTATCTCCAATTTCAATAGGGTTCGTCCTTGGGCCAAACAAATGATTTGTGCAAAATTTCATCTGGATAGGGCAATAAATGCGAACTGTACTTTGTTTACAAAAATACATGGACATACGGACGGACTCAGAATGTGATTCTATGCAGATCATCAAAAGGAACTATGGGTCTATCTCGTTTCCTTTTGTCTGTAACAAATAAATGCAGAAAGACATAATACCCTGACCACCTTGTGGTGTAGGGTATAAATAATTGCAATAATTTTGAAAAAGGATTTGGATTTTTTGTTTGGTTTCCCAACATTACTTTGGGTGACAGTTCTTTTTATTTAATCCCATTTTGGCACATGTCATGGTTTGTTGCTTTTTTTTTTTTGCACCCTCAGAGAAAAAAAACAACCAAAAATCACTCCTCGATAAAAATTAAGACCATTCATGTGCGTCCTCATTTACCCGTTTGTGGGATGAGGGTCAAGAACATTGTCGGAAATTCTAGTATGTACTTTATTTTCTACTGTGCTATTTACTCAGCGATAACAGAAAAAAATATTCGCCATCATTTTCATGTATTTTTCATCATGAATTGTAAAAAAAGACGACGAAATGTTAACAGAATTTATTTCATTTGTATCTCTGCTCTGTATCATTTACTCATGGCGCAGAGCCCACTTAAGATGCCGCCTATAAATCTTGTGGTGATGTTTATCCAAAGATATTTATTTATTTATTTTTTTCGTGTTTAATCTTGTCTTCTTTATAACTAGCATGGCGGTGCGGGTTTTTTTGCGTGCCTCGCTATTTTCGTATTTGTTTAAGAATTATTTATTATAACTATTTTGTTATTGTTTTCATTATTTTTTTAGTTAAATGTCGTTATTTTTTTTTTTTTGTTTTTTTTTTTTGTAAAATATTTGAGTTTTTATTTACTTTAAAGTTAACGCCATTTGCCAGATATTACGACAAGTTCCTTATTGCGGGGGGAGATAATTTGCCTAGCATGGATGGAAACCTTGATGGTTGGGATGAAGTGATTCATAAAACCGGAGGATTTACAAAATGTGATTACTAATGTTTCAATGCTATCTGTCAATTCTTTTATTAGTTAATAAAAGTTTATAAACATACATATGTCTTAGAGGTATATAGGTATGATGTAGCACTTCCATTCATTTGGACTTTGGTATTTTGGAAAAAGATTCGAGTTGTAAAATAGATAGCAGACAGCGTGCAAACCCAAAAAGTGGGAAATGGAGATTTCACTAAAAATGGTATATTATAATATGGCATGCTATCTTATTAAACATGACTGTACTAAAAATAATTACAGGAAAATTCCAGCAGATTACGAAAGTAGAGCTAAAACTAGAAGGCAAGTGTATCGGCGTTTTGAAAGTTTACATCGCAAAGTAACCTTAATAGGGCAAGAGCAAGTTCCTCCCTCTGCCATACTTTGGGAAATATTCGTATTAAGATGCCTTGGAAACCCTACATTTTTGGTATATATTGTCTTCCGCAATATTACTAATAGCCATACAAGGATTATATTAATTGAAGTTTTTAACCACCAAGCGAGTCACCAAAGGGGCCTTTTTTATCAAAAATATGCTTAAAAACTCACATTAAACGGCAACGTAGCAAGTAAAAATATTCCACAAAATTATTGCCCATAGAATTCTACTAAAGGTCCCAGAAGACATCAAAAGTCCAGGTCTTACATAAACGCCAGGAATTCATAAATACGAAAAACACAATTTAGGGTTAAATTCGTACTTTATGTGAGTTTATGCAAAATACTACCACAATGCATCATTTTTGAAGGACGACATCAAAGACAAAAGTATTCTTCATCAAATTTCACTATAAGTCACCAAAGAATAGAAATCTCTATTTCCATTATATATCTAGAAAATACCTGTATCAATGCTGACACAAAATGCAAAAATATTTCCTAACATTTTGATTGATTTTTTTCGGTTGGTCTTTTTTCAAGTTAATGCATGAAAGTAGCACAAAACTTCGTTTCAGGCAAAAAGTGTTGAAAGAAGAAATATTCTACACAAAATTTTACAAAATATCTCAGAATAAACCATATATCTAGGTACAATAGTTTTTAAGAAAAATACATTCGAAATATATGTACTACAAGTCAAAATTATTTGTTTGTTTTTTCGCTGCAAATTTAACACCTTTCCATTTTAAATCAAAATCTTCCTTACAATTTCATTTTTTGGAAAAAGGGTTTAAGGAAGAAATATTCTGGATCAAATTTCAATAGAAAAAAATTACATCAATATTAGTTTATGAAAAATCACAAATGCAAAGTCAAACGCCATAATTTGTAAATTTTTTAAATTTTATTGAATGAAAGCAAAAAATGTCGGAAATAGCATAAAATTTTAGAATAAGTTTAGATTTGTTCGAATTGGTCATCTTTGGCATTCAAACGAATTATGGCCTTCAAATGGCCAATGAAACCGTCACACTCTGCTCGAATGTTTCTCTCCGGTATTTTGGGCCATTCCCAGCGAAGCGCTTGCTTCAGGTGATTGACACTTTGGTATTTTTTAGAGCCAACCTTGCTTTCCAAAATAAGCCAGACACAATAGTCCAACGGATTGGTTAACAGGAGATTTTGGTGGCCATTGTGCGCTGGAAATGAAGCGAGGAACCTCATTTTGTAACCATTCTTGGGTGGAGCGTGCTGAGTGCAATGGTGCTGTGATGGAGTCCTGTTGGAATGTCCAAGGTCTGCGGCCAAAATCTTTGGGTGCCCAAGGCTTTAATACACCCTCCAGAATATTTTCGCGATAATATTCAGCATTTATTCCGATGCCACGGTCGATTAATACAAGCGGAGAGCGACCATCGGCTGTTATGACGGCCCACACCATCACCATGGCCGGCGCTTGAGTTCTGGTGGCCAACCGAAGGTGCACTTTTTCAGCTGACCTCTTTGGCAAGTATACACAATCATTTTGTCTGTTTACAAACTGCTGGACAACGAATGTTTTCTCATCGGACAAAACCAAATTCGGCAGTTTACCACTTTCGGCCAAGCGATGTAACTCTTTAGCTCTTTTGAGTCTATTTTCTTTGTGTTGCGGTGTTTGTTCTAGCACTTTTTGGAATTGCAATGGCTTTAACCCGAGTTCATTCTTCAATATTTGCTGAATGGAATATTGCGATATGTTTAGCACACGAGCCATTTTTCGGCCAGTCGCTTCTTTACTTTTCGAGCCATTTCTGCTGATGTTGCTGTTTTTTTTTCCGTCCACTTTCTTGACGTCGGGTACGCTACCAGTATCACGGTAACGAGCGATGGTATGAGACACAAAAGATTTATTCACATTTAAATGCTGGAGTGCTCTAACGATAGCCACTTGTGGTTTTCCTGACAAATATAAAGAAATCACACGCTTGAATCCCATCACGAATAACTTTTTTTCTGGAAAATTCTCAGCAAAATGCTTTTGTACGCTTCTAAACCATATAATAAGCTGTCACTGGAATAATTTTAGCAGCTGTCTTGGCTTAGAGTGGCGAGTGGCTTAGAAATGACAACAGTCTGAAGTTGGTTGCAGTTTTTTTCATCTCACCGTGTATAGTGTCCATAACCATCAAACGAGCCAATAAATGTGGTATTTTTCTCAAATTGTCGTTAATAACTCCCTTTAAGAGGGTCATAGCAAGTCAAAATATTCTACAAAATTATTTGTTATAAAATTCTACCAAGAGTCCTAGAAGACATACAAAGTCTAAATCTTACCTAAAACCCAGGAATTCATAATTCATATTTTTTGAGTTAAATCCTTACTTAAAGTGAGCTTATTAACAATTCTCCTACAAGGCATGATTTTTAAGGGATGACGTCAAAGACAGAAATATTCTCCATCAAATTTCACTATAAGTCTCCAAAAAAAGAAAGAAGATCTATTTCCATTGAATATCCAGAAAATGTTGGCATCAATGGTGCCAAAAAACCGCAAATATATATTATATTTTTTAATCATTTATTCGAGGAATAAACATTTTTCGAGTTAATGCATGGAAGTACCATAAAAAATGTTACCTTGGGCAGAATGTGTCAAAAAAATAATTCTTCTACACAAAATTTCAATAAAAGTTGCAGAAAAATCCATATCGTCCAATTATAAGTATTTTGATGGAGTTATTTACATTTTTTCAACCCGAATATTTGCCTAAAAATTTTCAATTTTGTTTGCTTTGAAAAATAAAAATCCTAAAAGTATGCTTCAAAATTTGTAGAGACGATTGTTATGTTGGTCGTTTGACTTTAAACAACATTCAAACGGTATCACACCATTTTACTGTTCAATGTCCGTTCCTTTACTTAAATCTATGATTAAACTCGCCTTACCGTAACATCATTAGAGCTGACTTCAAGTTATATTTTTTATTTTTTTATTAAAAATGTTATTACATGTATTTGGAAAAACGATGTCATTATAAATTGAGAAAAGAAAGTAATTCGTTACAAAGTCTATTACATATTTCTTCTAATTGCTAAATTACAACTATAACTACTTATTATGAAACATAATCATGTACCAGAATTTTTGTATTTCTTCCATATCCAGATAATTCTTTCCTCTTAGCCCGAACATCCTCGACAGCCGCAATGTACACACTCCACCACACGTCCCTCTTCCAGCTTCGATTTGGGCACACGGCAAATACAATTTGTACCAAAATTTGTATCACGTGTCTGTATACACCGGAGGCAGCATAAATTTTCATATCCTGATTTTTTCCATTTGGCAATTAAATTAGCATCGGCTATCTTCTCTTTGAGGCAATAATCATATAATTCGCGGCTGATGGCCTTGCGACGATAGAACAAATCGTAGATATAGCGGGACTTCTGATGGTGAATTTTGAAAATGGGCCACAGCGATTCGGTGATACGTTTACCCTCATGCGGTTCGGTTTCGGCTGGAAATGTGAAAAAAGGATTGATATACATAAAATTAATTTTGTATTTCAATAAATAAGATAAAAAATGATTTTTTTTTTCAATTGAAGGGTCTTTAGGAATTTAAGGCGATATGGTGATCTAAACTTCCTTCTTCAATGCTTTCAGAGCCCCTCAACACATATAGTCATCGGATCATCAAAGACACTGAATTTATCAGTCTAAAGATCAACAGCTTTTTTCATTGCAAAGTTTGAAAAAATCTACAATCCTTATTTAGCTTGAATAATTTATCTAAATTTGAGCTATTACGTAAAACATCTATCTTAAAATATCGGTGTTTACTACTTTACAATTCAGATATGGGTTGTTATAAGTCCATATGCCTCACTTAATGGTAGGTCCCCTAATTACCCAGGTTAACACAATTAATGCAGAGCTTTGAATAGGAATAAAGTGCGATAGAAGATCCATTTCAATGTTCTTCATTATTTCGCTACATGAGTTATTGGTCACGGACGATACCGAGGTACTTGGCCTCAGACGAAGGCCCTGGAAGTAAAAAATTCAGGCTTGTTTAACATTAGTTTTTCTTGTGAAGTGTCCAACACCCAGACTATTGTGTGACTACTAAGCATAACATAAATCCAATGTATAAATATAGAGGGAAAACCAAGTTTTGTTGGAAAATTGTAGATAGAATCAAGATTAACGTTGCTGCAAGTGTCCTCTACTTCAACCAATCGTTTAAATTTAAAGAACCTTAAAGCAAAAGATGACTATCTTCCAGAAGTAGATGCATATCTATCTTGACTAAATGCTACCAAATCTTTTTCATACCCAACATCTATTTTTCGGCCCATATCCTAGTTATGCCCCCACTACACACAAACATCTGCCGGCAATGTTGACCTAGCATGCAGCTGACTTGCACAACCGTGGGAACTTTAAGGACCAACACCAATCGATAGCCTTAATGCACATGTCCTACTTGCCTAAAACCCCGCAAACAAATTATGTAAATTTTTTCGGTCAATGTCATTTCCTTAGGTCCTATGGCAGTCGAGACAATTGCAACCTACCTTCACGCATTTTCTGTTCCAATTCTTCCAGCGTTGGTTCAATCAACTCCCAACCATCTGGTGGCGGTTTACGTGATCTGCGAACTTTTGGCATTTCAGCAAAATATACAGGCAAATCAAATGTTTGTCCAAACGTTTAAGGAATTCCACAAATTTCTACTTGGTGCACTCTTACAACGCGTTTGTTGCTCCTTTCGTTGACATTTAGAGATGTGTGTTTTTGTGAAATAGCGATAACATAACCAATGTCAGTGCTACCTATGGTAAAGAGCGTGCCATTTCGATAAAACTGATATTGCTGAAAAGGGGGTTTCGCATGTAACAAGAACTTAGAAATGTCACTTGAAAAAGAGAGGTGTGAGATATAAATAATATTTTCAATAAACGTATCGTAAAAGGAAGAGTAATTTAAAGCAGGAAACTTTACGTGATAATAAATCCATCGAATTAAAATTTAATCATTTGATATACGTTTCATCTGAAATTCAGTGGATCTTAGCTAACGTATTTACGATAGAATTTAAAGTAGAAACCCACTGGATTTATTATATTATATGTGTAAAGGCTTTTACATTATCAATTATAGAACTTTTTCGATTAAGTCACAAAAAATTTGAACAACAAATTTTGAAAGTCAACATTAAAAATTTAATATATTTTTCCTTTTTTGATGAATGTGGCAAAAATACTGAACACTTTCTGAACACTTAATGCCAGATCTATCGTTCGGGTAATATGATATATGTGTTTCTTCTAAATTTTGAACTTTGCTATTATTCATCCCCGAGTTGGTATTAATATTACGGTGTACCATGTTTGGATACTTTATTCGATTTATCGCGAATACGGACAGGCAGACATTTTTGCCGTATTAAATGATATATACTCTATTTAGCCATACGACTGATGATAAATTTGCCTCGGAATCTACATATTAGGTAAATGTTCGATTTTACCAGTGAAAGAACCCCAACAAAATGGACAAAATTTTGAATTATCATAACTTTTATAAAATATGAAATAAGAGTCGGATTGTCTTCAATTTCGCACATCCCACAACGGTTTACAATTTTGGACAACTATAACGCTTTTTAGCTTGTTTTTATCGGAAACAATCAAGAGTTGAAGAATTTTTTTGCATATACGTCAAGTAAATCTTCCTAAAGCAGTTTACATCACTCCAAAATATTAAGACGTGCATTATTTTCTTTGCAGATGCATACCAAAGTGAATAAAAACGCATTTTTCATTCATCGTCTTTATATTAGCTTTTTCCTTACATCATTTTTTTACTATTTTTTTGGTGGTGTAAGTTTAAATAAACAACCGTGCGAGCGACATTTATAGATCTATAAAATCCATCAATTAAAGCCTTGTTTTCACTGAACATAATTCCCCGAAAACGCAATTTATTAAGGTTGCACCTATCTCACAGCGGCCGGCTTTCAAAAGAAATACATCCCAACGGCGTTGAGTTCAATGTTGCGTCGCCGTTACCGCTGAAGAGGTCGCCTCAGTGTTGCGGTAACTGAGATTGTGGAAACTTGTTTCAAGTCGCCAAAAATTGTTTTCTCCACTAAAAAATGTAAATAATTTGCTTAAAAAATATTTAAGATATTTGTTTGTGATAACAAAAAGTGTGTGTGTATGAATATGTGTGATATGAATCAATGAAATACAAAATAATACAATAGAAATAAAAAGGAAATTAAAAGAATAGAAAGAAATTACTTTGTTACGCATATCAAACCACGACGACGACAGCAACAACAACAAATACAAAGGCAAAATCTGCCCAAAAAAGTTATCGTCACATCACAGCCACTGTGAAAGGTGCAATAAAACAACAAACATCGGGAGAATTGTGAAACTATTGGTTAATTATTTGTTTTAGGATGGATTCAGAGACATTTTGGAGTTAGATTTAATCATAAAATAATGATTTTTTTATGATAAGGTAATTTGCAAATTTACTTTAGCAGGCAGACAGATGATGTCTATTGCCCACTTTGCCTTTTCACCCACAAACAAGTTTGTCCTCTACCCGCCCTGTACACCCGCATCGATGGACATGTAAAAAAGAAACACAAACATAAAGGGGGCAGTAATAAGAAATTAATGTTATGACTGCACATATAATGTTTGGAGAATTTCATTTAATCATCAACTTTTTTTGGTGACTTACTAAATAAATATGGCCGAGCAACAAAACATCTGAGTGAAAATAATTTAACCAAACAAAAAAAAAAGAAACAATGGAAAAACAGCTATTACAAATACCATGCCAGACAACCAACCAGTCAGCCAGTTAATTTGTGGATAATTCTCCATCATTTATGGTGGATTTTCTTCTTCCCGTCTGTCTGTCTATCGAGTCGTCAACAAACGCTCTGTCTCGACGATGGACAAGGGACCCACAAAGCGTGTGGAGATCACCACTGCTATGCATATAGTACTTACATACTTTTTGTAAATGACGGGAAATAATGCATCCACAATACATGACCGACCGTCTGTATGTCTGTCGTCCACTACACATCTACATTACTTTAATTCATTTTGTACAAAGTGACTGTGATTTGTATATTTTTGTATTTTGTACCCTGCTCGTATTATGAGTGTGACTTTCTGTTGTTGTTTGTTTTTGGCGAAATTCCTTTCCTGTGTGTGTTTGCAGTACCCACACTGTCGTTACCTAAATTCACATTGTTTAGTTTTACTTATATTTTTTTGCTTGTTAATTTGATTGTTTATTTAGTATGATTGTGAATTTTGTTTTACGCCATCAAAATTATGTCAATTATTGTCGAGTTTGTTTATTTTTGTCCGATTTTATAAAATTTATTATTTGTTGGGTATAGTAGATATGAAATATTTATATTAGGGGGTGTTGTTGGTTTGGTCTTTTTCCGAGTGAATCAAAGGTAATCTGACGCATTTCATTACCATAACCATAACAATGAAAGCTTCTAATTTTTCACAGCGATAAAGTTATATACAGCACGTTATTGGTTACAGTTTTTTATACCTATAGTTTAGATACTAATCCTGATGTGGAAGCGGTTACAATATGGGTGTCCTGGGAATGCTCGATACTTTAAGTTCTGCCGCACCGTACTTTTAATACCCTCTTCCATTGGGTAAATAAAACATTTTTATATAAAAGTGTCTGAATTCAAACGTGTTCCTCATTAAACTACAAATACCAGTAAGACCATTTGGATAATGCTGTTAAACTTTCCAAAAAACCATAAAGAGGGTGAGGCCGTTGTATGGGGTGTCATACCAAAATGGGAACCTCTATAGACAATTTTATTCTTCAAGGATTGTCATCTACCAAATCTTCTTAAAGACACAATTTGAAACAATTTCGTGGGCAAATGTGACTAGGATTATCAAAATACCGAATATCGGTGGGTATCGTTTTATGTGCGCTATAGGAAAACGTGGAGCTAAATACTCAATGTTCCGCCAACGGAGCTAGAAGCCATTACGAACTACAAATAACAATTTTTAGACCAATTCGTGGAAAAAGTGGCTAAAATCACAAAAATATTGAATATCGGGAGGTACTATTGTGTGGGAGCTACACGAAAACGTGGGTCTAAACATACTATGTTCCGCAACCGGACCTTGGACCCATTATGAAAAATGTGAAAAAATCATAAAAACACAGAATATCGGGAGGTACCGTTATATGGGGGCTACACCAAAACGTGGACCTATATATACTATGTTCCGCAACCAGATCTAGAACCCATTACAAACTAAAAATACAAATTTTTAAACAAATCCGTTGAAAAATGTGGCAAAAATCAAGAATATCGAGAGGTGCTATTATCTGGAGGCCACACGAAAACGTGGACCTATACAAATTATGTTCCGCAACCGAAGTTAGAACCGATTACGAAATATAAATACCAATTTTAAGACAAATTCTTCGAAAAATGTGAAAAAAATCATACAAACGCGGAATATCGGGAGGTACCCATATATACTATGTTCCGAAACCGGATCTAGAACCCATTACGAATATCGGGAGGTACCGTTATATGGGGGCTATCCCAAAATGTAAACCGATGTATCCCATTTTCAATGCCAACCATCCTAGACATAATACAAATTGTTCTGCCAAATTTTGAAGATCTACCTTAAATAATGTCGTCTATATCGTGATTTCTTCAGACGGACATGTTTAAATCGACTTAGAATTTTATGCTGATCATGAATATATATATATACATTATGGCAGCAGATAGTTTATAAAGTGATTAAAAGAGATCTTGTAGTTTTAAAGACTTTAGAGGTAATAGCCGACAGTGGAGTAATTGGGGGTCAACAAATTTGGCATCACCTAAATTCAAAGTGGTACCTAATGAGTTCCCTCTTTCAAGTGTGGAATCAATGCTGAGTTGCTGCGTAGACCTTTTTCACCTGGTCTGCGTAATCACGGAATTTAGGTGGTCAATAGTAACCTTCTCTCCGAGAGATAAAAAGGTCCGGAAACTCTTCCGTAAAAGAGCAATGGTTTCGATTCTTGTCTTGTTCGTAGCGCCGTCTTGTTACAAGTTAGCGTTGTCCAGATTAATACCATCCTACTGCAACCACAAAAAAATCATTAATCGTCTCTCGATTGCGCAATCCATTCACCATAGCTGTTAATCCAATCTCGTCTTGAAAAAAAAGTAAGACTCAATTAAAACGCCTGACAGTAAACTGCACCACGCACACGTTGAGGATAGTGAAACTTCTCAACAGTAATGCTTAATAGTTGAGGTCGTCAGCGTTTCTCTCGCTATCCTGTCCTTGTTTGCTGCCGTCCTGTCGCCTTAACCAGATAAATAAAGGAACATTTAATCAAATGCGAGGCCAAACTTGAAATTAAATAATTCATTCAACCAACAATTCACAAATGATTCGTTAAGGGTATTAAACACGACTTTCAAAGGCACACAAATATTGCGGACAGTACTCAATATGTAGGTTTTTGAACTTTGATAAGAGATTATATGTGTTGTTTGTTGGTCGTTACATACATAATACAAATTAATGGCAACAATCGTAATGTTTGATTTACCAATACATACAGATGGGTCTAATGTTAATTAATACAAACACCAATACGATTTAAAAATAATATATTTGTATGACAGACATGACGAAACCGCATCAACGTAAAGTACCGTTGTCGGAGGCTTTATTTTAGCAATAATATCCAATGGTTATTTCAATACGAAACACCTTAATATTCATGCATGTCAGTCCCAGTGTCATCTAAATGGAATATTTTAATAAATGCGGACATTAAGGGTGTCAGTCTGGTGGTCTTCGTGCCGATGGTAGAATATTATTTGTTTGTGAACCAAAGTAATTACTGCCAGCTTTCTAGCTGTTGTGAGAGCATTATAAATGTGTGTGCTCGTGTTCTGGCGGCGAATTATAGAAATCAATAAAACTAAAACGTATATTGTAGTTTTGTTTACATGCCATAATTAACACTTAACTCGTCTCGTCACACCGTTCGGAGCAAGTGATATTTTAACAATGCTTAAAATACGGGGAAAAATAAAATTTCAAATGTAAACAAAATATACACAACGAAAAGTTATCACCGTTTATCTTCGAAAAATTCGCATCAGTGGATGTCGTCCATGTCGTTTCAGGGGAATGAGTGGAATATAAAAACACACAATTCTAAAATTTTTAAAATACTAACAAATGTAGGATATTTGTCAGTTGAAAATTTTTTCATAATAAAATGTAGGTGGACTTTACATGATGACATCGACAAATAAGCAAGTAATCAAGTGCGATTCTTAAAAAAATGAAGAAATGTATTTTCGAAATCGAGTAGGTCGACTGGCTCAATCAGCATGATGACTATGTGAAAGCGTGCTGAGAGCCATCTGGATAAAAAGACAAAGCTAACATTCCGATGTTTATAAGCAAGTTAGTTTACTCTCCCAGTAACATTTACTTTGTAAGAAGTTACAGAGAAAAAAATAAAAATTTCTCTCTAGTTGCGGAGTTATTGAGGAAAAATGGAGCCAGAAGTGGATGTGGATTCTTTGTTTTTACCGATAAAGACCTATCTCGCCTGAGCTAGTCTCGAGCAGTCAAGTATGGAACAGCCTAGGTTGTGGTGCATAATTTCCTATCGTAAATCAGAATGTGCTCCCTCCCGAATAAGAGGAGAATGTCAGGGTTCGCTAGATTTAACCATATTGTCAAACGGTCTGATAAACTACGTGGCTTGGCAACACGTCTTTTATCTTGGATCAGACCCTCTCCCAATAATCGTCTAAATAAGCAGATTGCCCGATTTCATAACCTCCGAACGCCGCACTTTCCTAAATCAAGAAAAAGCTCACGGGCCAAAATTCAGTGATAGGTGAACTATCGTCGCTTCAGAGAACTGTCCAACGCTTCTGACATTCGGGTAGCAGAAAGATTTTTCAAAGACATCATCAAAGCTGCTTCATCGTTATATACCTGTTGACCGAATGTTCCAAATGCGACAGGGCGACTAGCATATGAGTATGATGATTTTCATTATTGTAACGCCCCTGATCCCAGAGACTGACAGTGGAGGTCAACAGAGGAAAAAGGGCTGTACCATCTGAAGTGTTGGAACATTAGAAACGATATGAACAAGATGTGGGTTATATATCTCTCTCCAAAAGTCTCCAATTTGTTGCTAGCTACCAATATAGCTCGCAGAGCCTGGAAAATGGGCCGGGTTGTCCCGCTACTAAAGCCAGTCAAGGATATCAGAAAAGGTGATTCACACAACCCAATTTCACTTTTGTCGTCAGTACGAAGACTCTTGAGGTGTTACTCCTCCGCAGCTTCCGTGGAAGCTATCCAGTTGTTAACCATCAACACGGCTTCCGCCCACAACATTGTACCAAAACAGCATTGTACGCCTTATCCGCATAGTCGAGGACTTAACCAGAA